TTGAATTCCTGAAATGAAACAATAACGGAAGTCAAAAGTCAGCATTCAAACCGAAAACCCAGAAAATAAAAGCACTGGAAAGAGGTGGGTTGGGATCCAATTCAACCCATTCCAGATAAGGCAGCCATTGTTGGCGAGCTCCAGCTTTCAGCTGAGCTTCGGGGGTTTCAGAGGTCGAAGATGATAACCATTCCGTATTTGACCGCGTTGAGCACCTACTTCAGCTACGGCTTGCTCTTTGCCTTCGGCCAATTGCGAGACTTCTTCAGAAAAATCATTGATTGGTGGCAGTCTGGCGATCTCCAGGTCCCCCATTTCTCCCTCTGCTCTTTATGCGTTTCTCTCATTTCCTCTCCCTATCTATGTACGGATTAGCTTGCTTTGTTTTATTTTTAAAAATGTAATTTTGATTGTTGTAGGGTTACGCGCCGATCTGTTTAGGGCTTGAGGATTTCTACATTCGTCGTTTGTATAATCGAATTCAGGTATTACACATACAATCTACAAAATTCAATTATATGTTGTGTAATTGATGTAATTTGAGATTTTTCAAATGTTTCTGTTTCTTTTTACAAAATCCTTGCTTTCCATATATATTCGTATATACATATCTGTGTTGCAAGTGTCTTGTATGAGATTGAGAAGCTAAAATGTTGTGGTTGATAAAATCTCTGTAGGATTGTTTTGGACGACCAATATCAAGTGCTCCTGATGCTTGGTTTGATGTTGTTGAGCGTTATTCTAATGACAACAATAAGACCCTAAAGTGAGTACTTTGTTATGAAAACACAAAGTTCATAGCTTTCTAATTTGTAAACCATTTTCTCTCAGTTTTCGTTATTTTTTTGTTTCTTTTTGGTGGTGGGTTAATGTATGTGATTGTATTTGATGCAGACGAACAACAAAGATAAGTAGGTGCCTCAACTTGGGATCGTATAATTATTTAGGCTTTGCTGCATCTGATGAATACTGCACACCTCGTGCCATCGAGTCATTGAAGAAGTTTTCCCCAAGTACTTGTAGCAGTCGTGTTGATGGGGGTAATGATTGTTCTTTTACAATATGTTTCTGGCTATGTGTATCTGGGTATGAACTAAATCAATTGTTCCACCAGGAACTACAACATTGCACAAAGAACTGGAAGAGTGTGTTGCAAACTTTGTTGGAAAACCAGATGCTATGGTAACTGGCATGGGTTATGTGACGAACTCTGCCATCCTTCCTATCCTCGTTGGGAAGGTATCTACATAAAGTCATTTACTAGCTTAGAATACTCTTATAGACGTCTCAAGTTCATGTATGAACTCTTTTTGGTAATTGCATTTTATCTGCAGGGAGGGCTGATAATTAGCGATTCATTGAACCACAACTCAATTGTGAATGGTGCCCGAGGCTCAGGAGCTACAGTTCGAGTTTTCCAACATAATAGTAAGTTTTATATGGCTCTCATATTTCGAGCATGATTATTCCCTGAAAAGATCTCTTTATCTTTATTCATACAAATCCGTTTTCCATCTTTCTTTCAGCTCCTTCGCACTTGGAGAAAGTTTTGAGAGAGCAAATTTCTGAGGGACAACCTAGGACACATAGACCATGGAAGAAGATAATTGTCATTGTCGAGGGGATATACAGTATGGAAGGAGAACTGTGCCAGCTTCCAGAGATTGTTGCAATATGTAAGAAATATAAGGTAATACATTTGTTACACTGCTAAATGATCCTGTACTTGCTAGAAATGATTTCACTCTAGTCTTTCAAAACAGATTAACTAAGTATCACCGTTTGCTTGTTGCTTTCTACTTGTTGCAGGCATATGTTTACCTGGATGAGGCTCACAGCATTGGAGCAGTTGGAAAAACGGGAAGAGGTGTCTGCGAATTATTAGGGGTTGACACGGCGGATGTAGATATAATGATGGGAACTTTTACAAAATCATTTGGATCATGTGGTGGTTATATAGCTGGATCCAAGGTTGGTACTTCCATTGATTTTGGTCATATCAAGAAGCCTTATGATTGAAATTGATTAAGAATATCAGTAGAAGTTAACCAAATTTCCGCCTTATTATCTCCCGCTCATGTATCATTTTCACTTTCAGGAGGTTATACAATATCTTAAATACACTTGCCCAGCTCATCTATACGCAACTTCGGTCTCACCTCCAGCTGCTCAACAAATCATATCTGCTATTAAGGTCATTCTTGGAGAGGATGGTACCAGTCGAGGGGCTCAGAAACTTGCACGGATTCGTGAAAACAGCAACTTCTTCAGGTCAGAGCTGCAGAAGATGGGCTTTGAGGTTCTCGGAGACAATGATTCCCCTGTAATGCCCATAATGCTCTACAATCCAGCAAAAATTCCTGCTTTTTCTAGGGAATGTCTGAAGCAAAATGTGAGACATGCCAATCACTCTCGTATTCTTATCTTTGATTCATGAAAGCCATCTTTCTAGTGCATTTCTTTGTTTCTATTAGTGTTTTGGCTTTTAGACCAAGTTAGATAATACATCATGTTGGTACAGGTTGCTGTTGTGACAGTTGCTTTCCCGGCTACTCCTCTACTTTTGGCCAGAGCGCGTATTTGCATATCTGCCTCACACACCAAGGAAGATCTTCTCAGAGCCTTGGAGGTATGTTTCAGTTCAACTTAAGAATGTGATGCCTTTTGGAGGACCTGGGACTCTTTACAAAACTATGGTGATATAATTTGGTTTGCAATTTGACAGGTTATCAGTCGAGTCGGTGATTTGGTGGGTATAAAATACTTCCCTGCTGAACCCAGTAAGCAGGAGACAAACGCCATCAAATTGGAATAAAGAGTTGAATTCGGGGCTTCAAAATTGTAAATTTGTAAGGCTAAGCTGGTGATCCAGTCATCAAACTGTGCCCCAGACGTTCTGAAGCTTTTGCTGGAAAACATGAAGCATTCAATTATCTTTAAATCTGTTTCGTATCTGCGACCTTTTGGAGGGTCTTGTTGTATTTCACTGTGTGATCCTCGATGAAATTTTGATTAGTCAGACGTACAGATGCAGCTCTCATTGGTTAAATATGTTATCAGTTATGTTTCAAACTCGACTTTCTTGTATATATTCCAAAGGCGTCTGTTAAGGGACAAAATCCATTCTAATCTGATCCTCATTTTATAATTGCCATCGACCAATGCATTGTCGCTTAAATCTGTTTCGTATCTGTGAATCTTTTGGAGGGTCTTATTGTATTTTGCTCTGTGAGCTCTCATTCATTCAAAATATGTTATCAGCTATGTTTGAAACTTAGAATTCTTGCATGTTTCAAAATCACAGAGGTATGAAAATTCACAAGGTCTAACCAAACCCTGAAACACGCAATGCAATTATAAAAGCAAATTCTTTACATTATGCTGCTTCAGATAATGATACATCAAATACAAATGGCGATAATTTTCCCTAAAAAGAACACAAACTGATAGCAGAATTGAGCTGGAAATGGCCCTAGAACTCATAAGTCTACTCATTATGGAACTTCCCGGATTGTGGCACACACGGACTTGATCATTGTGGATATATATATATATATATCTATCTATCTATCTCGGGAAATGCCAGAATAATGAAGCTATATATCTACATATTAGCTTTGCCCTATAAAACTCGCATTTGCTTCCTGAAAATTGTTGAGCAACTACATGCAACTCGTGAAAGCTATATAACTCTAATGCACAACAACATCATCATATGGAAATCACCTTAACATTAGATTTTGTTTAATTTTAAATCATTCTAATATAGATAGTTGAGATCTGTATCAACGCTGCCACTCTTACCAATTTGTCGCCATAAATACGGAAGATCATAATTCAAATGCAAGAAAGACTGTATCACAACTCCTAATATTAGACATCATCTCTCACAAGTGAATTTATACCTTTTCTCTTGAAAGAGGCGCACAGCTAATGTCCCTGCCAAACTCCAACCCCTTTGTTAAGCCAACTCTCATTCATCACATTCAAACCCTGCCCTAACTAGAATGCAGACTTTCCCTGCCAACATCTCAGCAATAACCCTTCAACCCTCCTTAATCAAGGACATTCTAACAACAACGCCTGACCCCTTAGACTCTACATCCCGATCCCGGTCACATGAAGGATGTATCGGGAGAAAATCCCTTGAGTGACATCCAATCTACAGTTAAATGCCCTAAGAGAACTATGCAACTCTTTACATCTGATCTCAACTTTCAGGTCTAACAACAACAAACCAAGTTGGACTTCCATCCAAAATTCACCTCCTTGTCTCTCTCCACTCTGCCATTAACCTACCAAATAGGTCTACAATTAGAACTCGCAGAAAATACCTCTATACATTGATCAGTTTATCCCCTAGCCAAATTTGGCTTCAAATAAAAGCCACAGACGATTACTGCAAAAACACAGCAGCAAGTGTACTGAATGTTTTGCAGAATGAAAATAGGATACACTAATTTTCTGTATACAACATTATTGATATCATAACAACCAGAGACGTAATAGATAAATAGCTTAAATTCAACAAAAGACATCTTTAGCTCTGGGAAATCATTATATACATTAGATATCGGCTCAAAATTATTCTGCATGCCTGGGTGGAAATGAAGACTGGAAAGGAAAAGACTACAATTGGTCCTTCCTCCAACCAATTCTAGGCTTTTCCCTTGCCCATTCTGTCCTAAAGGCTACAACCAGATAAGAAAAGATAGTTCCTCATCATGGTCTCCCTATGATCAATGAAAAACTACAACTAGTCCAGCATTGTTATAAAAAAGAAAATATGGATTTGCACTCAATTAAAGAAAAGGTAAATAGTGCAATGAAACAAAACCTACTCATCCAAAAATACCACTGAGTTGAGATTTGAGAGCAAAATATAACCAAAAGCTCAAACCAGTTTTACTTTCAGGCATGTATCTTACATTGCCATGGCTGAGGATTTTTTTTCTTCTTCATTTTGGTCTTTCAATCGCCAACAGTCACAAAAACAGAAGTCAAGAAAACCCCTTTCCAAGCTTCTGAATTGCACAATACATTTTCCTTCTGGTACCAACTGCATTTATGCCCATATCTTTGAGGTCCTCCAAAGTTAACATGGGCAATACCTCATCATCCACCTCATGAATTTCAAACATCGGGGCATAACGACCTAATCCTAGCCCATTGAGCCAAACCCTAACACCATCTTCCCCACACCTCCCTCTGCCTTCATTCCCATTTCTATCCCCACTAGTCCCTCTACAATTCCAATCCCTTGCATCATTATCCGACGGCCCAGATAGCTCAACACCATCATGGTGGTCCCTCCCCTCCGAAACCCTAGTCCTAATGGGTCTCCTACTTCCATGGTAAAGCACATCCCTTTCATTCAAATGCCCATCCACACCCAAATTGTCGGAAGAATGAAGTGGGCTCTGGTCTTTCAAAGGAGACTCCGAGTTTTCGACATCAAAATCCCGATACCCATCTTCAACATCCTCACCTCCGCTAAATTTATCATCCCCTTCAGCAGCAGCAGCATCACCACCTTCGTCAATCTTGGAAGAGACCCAATTGGATCTGACCCTTTTCGTGTTCGAAGCTCTTTTCTTGGTGTCCTTGACCTTCCAGCTACCAATGGCAACACTATCGAGATTTCCCTCTCTATCTTCGCCGTCTAGGGTTTCTTGGAAGTCGGCACCAGCGCTCAAATTCGTTAAAGGTCGAGTCTTCGAGGACTTATTGGAGTCTTTCCGGTGATCAAGTGGGAGCTTCCATTGCTTGGTGGTGCGTCGCACGTGCGAATCGTACGGCTGGTCTCCTCCGATGTCGCCCAATCGGACGCTGGGCCTTCGCTGTCGCTTCGATCCCACGGTCTCGGATGAACCCAACATGAGTTGTCCGCCGTTGATCTGACCCATCGGTGGTGGTATCTCCGCCATCGAATCCGATTTTATCTTTTTATTTACTCTAATTTTTTGAGAGAGAGAGCCTACTGTTGCCTGGATTGAGTTTCTCTTAAAAGAGACTCAACCCTTCTCTGTGTTTGTTAAGTGAAAACGGGGGAAGAAGCAAAAGCGCTCTTTGGCCTTTTCGATGTAGCGCTTGTGCCACTGTATCAATGCCTACAAGAGTGTCCTTTTGGTCGCTTTCTAGAGAGAGAGAGATACAGTAAATGAAGTGATTGATGAGAGAGAGAGAGGGAAGAGAGAAGAGAAGAAAGGGTTTCAGTGAGTGAATGACTTTGGATTTTGGGGGTTTGGAGAGAGAGAGAGAGAGTGTGTGTGTGGGTGTGTTGTGGTCTAAAGGGGGCTGACACGTGGCTCTCTCTCCACGTTATCATCAGATGGGAATGTCCCATTGACCACTAGATATCTTCACTCTCCATCAAATCAATATTTATAAATTTTGACCCAAAAAAGAAGATCAAAATCTATAAATGGTGCATGGATGGATTTGTTGTATTTTGAACTCTGCTCTGCTTATGTTTTTTGGCCAATATGGAGACTTAGATTTAGCCCTCTACATCATTCACTCATCACTTGCATGTTTTTAGCTTTTTAGGTTATCTATCCTCTCTCGGATTCCAATTCTGAATGGTAAAGTTCTGTTGGTCCCCCCCAATTCCAATGAAAGGCAGAGGCGCACCTGCCCCATTCATTTCTGAACGCTAAGATATGTCTCTTCTGTGAAGAGAGCCAGATTTTTCCAATATTTTGTTATACAATTCAAGAAAATAAAAAAAGCTTCGTAAATGATTCATCAAATCATGAAGCTTCACAAGCCATCTAGGATGTTCCTTGACAATCCCGGAAAGTCAATTTGTTTGTTTCTATCCATAATGATAGATAGGTGCTGACGTACAACAGTTTTTTTCGACCAAAAAAACGTACAATAGTTTTGGATCTATTTGATAAAAGTTTTTATTTTTTGTTATTTTAATCGAAAGTAAATAATTGATTAAAACAATAGCGAAAATAAAAATAATAATAAAGGAGCAATTAAGGAGGCACAAAAATTTGAAAAAAAAAATGGAGGAGGAAATGAGAGAGAGTAGGCCCTGCACTATTTCCCAATGAAAGCCTGGCTTGAATGCTCCATCATGTCCAAGAAAGAAGTTGATGCTGATGATAAATGTTACAGATTTGAAATGCATTTTCCCCATTCATACAAGCACTTTAAATCATGGTAAGAAGCCAATTGGATCAGAATTTTAATTTTTTTCGTCAGACTATTGGATCAGAATTCAGGTACAAGAGAATTATAAAATCATAGAACTGTCCTTGTGTCCAAAGAATCATTTCTAAAACCCCATACGATGAATTCTTGTAAGACACTGCTAATATTTTCCTTTTGGCTATCGAAAATCAAAGTTACAATGAATGCAGGGCCACGAGAAACTTACAACGCTTTCAAAACTCTACATTGAGCAGGTCAGCTGCTGATCTTCCTGACCAATTTTGAGCAGCTTCTCCTTTATACATCCTTAGCTGAAGGGTGACACTTATGGACCAATAGATTCAGGTACATATTCGCTTAGTTGCTTCGGTGTAAGGAATGGTCCAGTAACCTCAACTTTAAGTGGTTCACACGGTGCAAAGCATACCATGCCGCAGACTATGCTCCAGAGGATACATGGTTGCACTTTTCACATATTTCTGATGGTCAATAGCAGCCTTTCTAAGACTTAGAAATGATGTAAGCTTTATTTTGACTTGCTTCTTTATAATTGAACACATACGCAGTGGGTCTGCATACCCTGCTCCAATCCTCCTATAGAAATGAACAAAAGCAGAATTACTACTTTGAAGTGGAACAATATAATGTAATGTGTAAGATTGAGAACCCTCACAATACAATGCAGAACTGAATCAAAATTGTACAGGAAAGATTGAGCATCAGGTGAAGACTAGAGGTTTCCTATATAAATAGCCAGACATGGAGCAGAGCTTGGATTTGATAAGTACCATCACTGTCAACCCTCTTCTCTTACCCCAATTATTAAGTTCTTTCATGGGATGGGATTGTTGGACTGTGTCAGAAGTTCCTAACTATAAGAATGATATATGAGATTTACAGAGATGTATGACTCAATCTTGGTTGAACTCCAGGTCACTGATAATAGTTACTGCTTATTTTAAAGAGAGAATCTAATTTTGTTGTAATGAAGTAAATAAATTTTGTAAGTTTACCTCAACAATTTCTCTGATGCAATTCTAGCGGCAGTAACTGCACTACGGTCCGGTACCCATTGCACAACACGGTTTGGATCAGCTCGAATAGGCGAATGAATTTTGATAAGCTTAACAAGAGAAATAAAACTTATCAATAACAAGAAGAAAAATTAAAAATGATCAAGTATATGTTAACCATTCTTCTCACCACAGTACTATTTTCAAATAGACAAACAAAGGACACTAAAGTTCTGGATTCTTAAAACTTATTTAAATAATTTCAATTTATTGAAAGGAAAAAAAAAACATATTTGAAAGAGACAAGGTTTGTTGACTTAACAAAAAACATTTACCATCTGGAATCCATAGAAGGAGGGTTTCTTCCCCCATACCACCTTCAAGATACAATTACTAATACAGCTTACATATCCCGATTACAGATAAAAAGAGAGCATTAAACACTTACACCCAAACACTCCATCATCTGGTAGTATGCCCTACCATGTAGAGGAGTATGACCTTGTCGAGATTCTGAGAAATATCTAGTCCTGAAAGGATGTTTCAAGATCCTCAATCAGATAAACGTTTTAACATAGTGAGGAAACATTTTGTAGGAGAAATTGCAGCAGGGGCAGAAGGAAATTATTTTTACCATTCTTTATATCCAGGATCTACAGTGAAACCATACATATCTACCGAGTCACATATAGAGAGCGCAAATTCAAGAGCCTTGAGCCCAGTTCCTTTTGCGGCAGAACCAAAGGAAGCACCTAGCAGGAGATATACATGATTTTTTATTGGAAGTTCCTGCGCAAGGCAAAACCAAAAGTTGTAAAAACAAAACAACATTACTGTTTGCAGTTAAATGGATACGCAGCAACAAGTACTTGGTGGAGTAAGTCAAGACAAGTTATTAAAAAACAATGTACAAACCCGAATCATCTGGTTCATAGCATCATGAATTGTTGTTTTGATGATCAAGACTTCCTTCCTTGACTCTGCAAGATTTGTATATTTAGTGTTACTTCTAGTAATATGCAATATTTATAAAGTAAGTGGACCAGTTCTCGTACCATCTAACTCCACAACTTTATCAAGAGCTTTAGCAGATCCCCTATTAAGAAGCCGAAATGTGCTTTTCTTCCCCACATGATCGGTATAGTTCTGTAGTAGAACAAAAAGGTAAGAAGATTTCTCAAAGTCCAGTAACCATCATTATTTCTAACTCTTAATATAGAATCAGCTTGACCTGAATTGGTGCACCATTTTCTCTAATAACAGCATCATACCCATCAATCTCCTTCCCAAACCTTGTTTTCAAAAGATCTCCCGAGTTTCCAATCACTGCACATCGGCCAAACATCTGTGGAACATATGGTGGTGTTTCCGGGAGCACCAGTGAAAGTTTTTCCACACATAATGTTTTATTCTTGCAGTGGTTGCTGCAATACAGAAATACGCTAAATCAACTACACATTCATCCAATAATTGTCCACTCAAAAACTTGTATGTTGAGCAGTACTTACAGACGATCTCCTTTATTAATCCTACGCCACGCATAATTCTCCCATCCATTTGGTAAGGAATCAATGAACTCCCTGGTCAGTATTGTGGTACTATTCCGCACCTGAGCAATCAACTCACTGAATAACAAATCAATTGTAAAGCATAAAACAAAATCAAACTTGACATTAAAAAGGTACTAAGAAAAATGAAGAATTGATTTCAACATGCACACTTGCAAGTTTCATTTGATGACAAAGAAATGACAGATCTCAGTTCCTAAGTCGTGTGCATTGCTATGAATGATACATACATTAGGAGACATGATAGAATACTCACCTGTTCCCATGTAGCCACAGCTTCACAAAGATTAAACTCATACGATAAGCCTTCAAGCTCACCGGTTTTGGTATCTTTCTGTTTACACATAAAATTCAGACTACACATAAGCCTAAAGAAGCAACTTATATCAGTCGAGAACCACAAAATCGCCAAAAGAGATGCCAAGACATTGCAACTTCTGTAGAGCATTGCTTGAAGAGAAAATGAATCAATACAAAAAGGGATTTAACAATGCTTCTTTTAATTTTAAAGATTATGGTTATCTTATCCCAACTCATAAACGCAATTGTCTATAAAATCTCATTTGTAAATTCGGAACATTTCAATGGAGAAAAAATTCACCCATTTAGGAATGGTATCACCGGGAAATTGCATTGTGACTTCACAGTAATCTTTACCAAGCGAAGCTTGCAAACCTAATCCATTTGCAGCCTGCATCATAATCATATGAAGCAGGTACGTAAATAAGCAATGTTAGACCACCAATCACAACATTCGGTATAACAAGTACCAAGGCGTATAAATTCTAGATGAATATAACAGGCACAAAATGCTAACATTTCTTACACAAAAAATACTTCAATTAAACATACTTTACTATCCGCTACCACAGCAAAAGCATATAAACTTATAATTATATATGTGTGTGTGTGTGTATATACATATATACTAAAAAAACAGACATTTCAATTCATAGAAGAAAAAAAATCGAAAAATCGAAAAAAAGGAGAAGGCTCACCACACACTTTTGGAAACCGGTCTGCAGAGATTGCAGTGCTTCCACATCTTCTTCGGTAAGCCGATGCGTCTCATCTATATCACAGAATTCAAATCATACATATAAACATATACATATTCAACATGCGTAGAGAGAGAGAGAGAGAGAGATGCATACAGAGATCGGAGACGCCAGTGATGTAGATGAGGATGGCGACCAATCCAAACAGTAGAGATACGACGAACGCCAACTGCAAAAGCCTCATCGGCTTCAAGAGATTCAAGCTTTGGCAGCAAAAGCTGTCTTTTGAAAATTGACGATTGGTTTGATTTGCTACCTTCTCCGAGCTCTGGATCTCACAGACTCATTTCGCTTGCCCTTTGTGCTCTCACCTCTTCCTCCCACTGTTCCGAGTAACAGAAAAACTGGACAAAGAAGATGCGTAATTGCAATCTTAGCCCACTTAATTTCGACCCAAATTATAGCCTGCCTTATTTTGGCTTAATGAGCCTATGGGCCCTTAAGGCCCAACATTCCAGACAGCCGTCACCTAAATGTATTATTTGGACACCCACCCCTCAATTCAAAAATTTCAGCTGTCTTTATAATTTAGAAATTGAACATTAGAAAATTAAAAAAAAATTAAAACTTTTTTATTATTAAAAAAAAACCCGACATTGCAGACAGCATAATCACATAAGAGGATTTGCTGAGCCATTATGCCATCAATAATATTGATTGGACGTTTTAGAAGGTAATTATCATTAGGAATGTCAATTCTCTTCCCATCCCCCTTATTTGTGCGGGGGTCACCTTAATTGGTACGGTCTCAGCCCTGTTTTCCCTTTTAAGTTTATAAATATAAAAATAATTGTAATATGAGTTTCGAATCCCCGACAAAACATAAATGATAATAGCATCTCCGGTCCCCACCTATTCCGTTGCCATCCCTAAATATCATGCAACAATAGTGCAACAACAGTTTGTTGTTGCAACTTACAAGTTACAAGGATTGCGTGGAACAAAATATAAACCAAGTTTTAGCCAAAAAAAATTATAAACCAAGCCCCTAGCGTACAATTCTAGGGCAAATGTCCCCCAATTGCCCATGCCTCCTCAGATGCAAAGAGATATGGACACCACCCTATTAAATCAGTGTCACCTTCTTTCTTCTTCACCAATAGACAAAAAGGGACAATGCCATTCAATAGCCAAGGGGCCTTGCCATGCAGCTTTGCTTTCCTGCTGGGCCATGGGTGGAGCCAGGGCCCCATTGGCCACCACCATGGGCCTGCATGCACCGTCCCCCACCGTTGTGCCTAGTTTTGGTTTTGGTCCCTCCCTAATGAGATAGATCATGATTTTATAATAATAAAAATTAAAATAATAATAAGGGTGTTGTTAAACGAACCATAAAATTAACTGAGTACATCCTACTACCAAATTATTTATTGAATTACTAATTTATCCTAATATAAAATGACCAAAAAAGATATATTAAATTGTGAAACAAATGTAATATTTTAATAAGTCCACCCTACTCACCTTATTTAACCCACAACCATTGTCGTCTTTATCATTCCTAGTTTCTCCGAAGGAAATTAATCACATCTCCAAAGATGATGGTCATTAGAGGCAAAGAGGCCCCATTTCCAATAGCAATGATTGTACCAACATACATTAACAAGTAATCCAAGGATTCAGCAAAGGAGAAAAGCTTGTAAATATGGTACTATTTTGGTGCCATCCTCCTTGCTCTTGCTTGTATCTTGTTAGTTGTTTTGAGAGTCCTCCACGGCTGAGTGGCCGTTTGATGATGTCGTGCCTTGCTACTTGATTACATATCCATCTGCCGGATTTTCCTCAGCTATGTTTTTCACAACAATAGTAAAGCTGCTCGATTTTGGATCTTTACTTTGCTAGATTTTTAAGGAATTTTCAATTAATTTTAGAGTTTGTTTAACAACACCTAAAAATGAAAACCTCACGTCCTTATCTTTTATGGCTTCAATCGACAATGAAAGCAATAGAGTTGTAGCCGTAGGGAAGGTTGGTTTTTTGTTGTTGTTGTTGTTGTTGTTTTGTTTGAGTAAATGCATGCCTTATCCAGTTGAAGGCTGAGTTTAGTCTTTCTTTGTAAGATTTTGTTTGTGCCAAGCAAACCCGAAACATCAGCAACAAGTGTTTCTTGTCGTTTTTGTGATGCTTCCCGGAAGCACTTGTCAATTGTTGTTTACATTTCTTACACACCATGTTCTAATATATTTTTTCCTCATTTAAATTAATTAATTAATATTTAATGAAGAAAGAACCATATAACCTAATTCATACGTAGGTTTCACTTTGTGAATGCGGTCTATCAATATACATGGTCCGTTTAGCATATCTTTTAATTAATTTTAACAAATCAAGTATTCATCTTTTTATCTTAGTACGAAGAAGGGAGATGAATATAAGATTTTTTTTTTATAAACATTATGGAAGAATAATACTAGTAGACGAATGACTCCTTAGCTTGAGCCCAAGCATTGATATTGATTTTTTTAAAAAAAGGGATTAATTAAGTTTTGTCTTGTTGTCCAAGCATCAAGTTGATATATAGGTATCCCTATACTATTTCGTATGGTCAAATACCAGTTGAAAGAAAAGTGACACTAACACTATAGGAAGCATAAAAGACAAGAAAGTCGGGGTCATAAGAGTATGTCTACTCACAGGAGAGAAGGGAGTGGGGGGGGCAAGGGGCTAGGTGATGTTTTAGCCCCTCAAGATGGTATTATTCACAAAATTTAATCTCTCAAGTTTGTTGTGGTTCTAAGAGCATTTCCAGCAGTTGGAATCTTGCCATGGCAAGGGGGGGGCTAGGGGGGACACTATTCACAGGAATAGTGTCTGCCCTTGCAAAAAGTAAGTTCCACTTCCAGCAGTTGCCATGGCAAGGGGGGGTACTATTCAATTTTTTGTTTTTTTCACAAATTTGTTTACCTAAACAATTAATTTGGACAATATATTCGGATGAGATTTTCTGATAAAATATTCGGATAAGATTTTCAGATAAATTTTTTTTTCAAATTTCAGATAAATTTTTTTTTCAAATTTCATATTTTCAAATTTAATGCTTTGGTTGTGGTTAGTTTTTTTTTATAAATTGAATTTTTTGAATAAAAAGGAATTTTATTTAATAGTTTCTTTGGTAACTCAAAGAAAACTAATACTACTAATACAATAAAATACATGACTTCCAACTAATTTTTAAAACAAATCATTAAAATACAATGAAATGAAAAGGCAAGCAAACTAACTTAAGGGTTTTCATCATTTAACCAATCCGTATTGCTAGGTCCATCATCACGAAAAAGTTTTCGTCTCATAATAGCCTTTCGTTCTAGCTTCCAATATTGTTTTGTTTCAGGAGACATGTGGCTTGTATCCATGGCCATGGTTTCCCGATCCTTCCTTTCTTCATTTTCTTTGCGTCGATACTCCCTTTCTTTGCGTACATACTCCCTTTCTTTAGCAAATTCTATTGCCATTGCCCTATCATCTTCTTGGACTTTCTTGTCTATTTCAATTCTCAAGGCGCTTTGCCTTGCAATTTCCTCTAAAAATTTAGAGGTATTACTCGTAGAATTAACTCCTCTCTTTGCCTTTGCCGCCTTCCTCCCCATAGGCCTCGGCTCCTTTTGAATGGGTAAGTCTTCACTCATAGGGGATTCCATAGGCGAATCCGAAGCTTGTGAATCATGAAGTGGCGTCTCGTTTAACACCACCGTTGGAGCCGTTGGAATAATGCTAAATCTTTTACAATGCTTCACCACCTCCCAACATTGGGTATGGGTGAAACTTTTTTTCCCTACTCCAGTAGCACCATAGAACATTTGAGCTTGCACAATCTATATAAAAAAAAATTGAATAAGCAAGGAACTTAAAAAAAAAATTGGTAATGCAAAAAAGATAAACATATGAATGAAAATCCAAGAAATATTAACAACATATAAAGAATGCAAGAAACATTCAAATAAATATTAGAAATACAAGAAATATAAAAAAAATATATAAAAATTGCAAGAAACATTCAAATAAATATGGAAAGACAAGAAATATTAAAAACATATAGAGAATGCGACAACCATTTATATAAATATTAGAAATACAAGAAATATAAACAAAATATAAAGAATGCAAGAAACATTTAAATACATATGGAAATACAAGAAATATTAACAAAATATACCAATTGCAAGAAACATTAAAATTAAAATTAATAGGACATTAAAATTAATAAAATGAAAATTACAAGTAATTACCTCATCGCTTAGATTTTCCCCGCTTGCATGGTTATTCATCGCTTTTGTGAGGGCATCTCTCCATTTCCCCAACTCTTTGTTGAGAAGTTTCCACCGACTTGACAATGCGCTTTCCGTACGGGTGGAACCCGATCTTTCAACAAATGCGTGAAGAATTTTTTTCCACATTTGACTGAATTTCATCTCATTACCCGATATGGGATCATGACTAATTTGGATCCAACACTCACACAACAAGACATCTTCCATGACGCTCCATGCCCCTCCGGTTTCTTGAGAAAAAGCCATAATGATAGAGAAAAATTATACTTAAAAATGAAAACAATTTAGAGTAAAAGTGAAGAAAATATTAAATAGAAAGTGAAAAATAGTTGGAGAAGGAGAAGATGTATGAGAATTTGTTGTTAAAACTGAAGAGTAGGTGTTGGTATTTATAGAAAAAAAGTCAGTATTTTTTGGGATTTTTTTAAAAATTTTTACGATTTTTTTTCATCATTTTTTGCCTGGAAAAATTCCAGGCCGTCGGATTGGCTGACAAGGCGAAATCGGAAGGACGAGAGGCTGCCACGTCGCACGTTACCGTTGGGCGCAAAAGCTGACGCGCGATTTTGAATTTTTTTTAACGTTGGCGCGTGCATTGCACGCGCCAACGGTAAAAAAATTTTACAACCGCGTGCTGACGTCACGCTGGCATAAGCGATGACGTCAGCTCGCACTCGGGCTCTCGCTCGGGCTGCCTTCGCCTTGGGGCCAGCCCAGGCAAGTGGACCCCACACTGCCCGGGCCAGCCTTTGTTGCTGGAACTTGGATTTGGGCTCTCCCCCCCCCCCCCAGCCCCAGCCCGAGGGGGCTGCTGGAAATGGCCTAATTGTGTTGAGGGGTTAGGAGCAAACTAAAAATAATAAAAAATAAAACAGCCCAGCAAGCAACTAGCCGTTGTAAACTATAAAATAAATATAAAAAAAGAACGACCCAAGAATTTTTCGTTGAAAAATCAGCTTTTGGAGCGCCACGTGGCAATGCCTCAGGCCATTGCATTTGAAAATTTTGCGGCTTTTTTTTATTATTTAAAAAATATTCAAAGGCTGACTATAAGGTCTACTCTTGCTCGCCAACACTGAGGCTAAACCAGCCCCTTATTTTGCCTTAGGGCAAACTGGACTGAGCCAAACACATACATTAGAAAGTGTGTGTGTGTGTTTTTTTTTTCATTTGAGGCCAAATCTGGACCTAACCCACGCTAGATAAATCCCACTAGACATGCTCTAAGAAAGAATTGTCAGCATAATTGTTCAATCCGCGCATATTAAAAAATACAAACTCATCGTTTATACATATCATAATACGTAGATTAGTTTTCGGACATGTAAAATACATATATTAGTAAGTAGAGTCACATAATCTTTGACGAATAAATGTATATGTTATTATAGATATTATATGCATGTGTTGATTTGTATCACTGTCACAGTACTATTAAAATTAAATTCTATGATCCATCGATTCGAAGTCACATAACTTGAAAATGGGATATCCGACAAATGGCACCTCCGCAATTAGATCTTCGTATTTGTAGCTTGGGGAGCCAAGCTATAGCTAGAGCATGCAGCTTCACCAAAAGAAGAGAAGTTATAATAAATGAAATGATAATCATATGTCTGTCGTCATGAGAAAGAAAATAAATGAAAGTGACATTAATTTTCAAGCGACTAGTCATAAAAAGCGATTGGCATGATGGCCTGCAATCTGCATGATTAATGAGTGATTAGAATTTGGAGGTTGTGAGGGAATGAGATTACCAAGTGATTATTGATTGTACTGCAGCTAGCTAGCTAGGGCAAGGGCCAACTTAAATAGCCAACCATACATATATAGATGATAGAATTCGGCTAGCCGACATGGACACGCAATTAAGCTAATTAGGTTCTTGCACGCATTATTAAGGTGTCATATGAGGATTTGAATATGAGATAATTGGTATGCAAGTCAAGGTCTTATTTTACTGGACTAGACTCCATTGGCGAAACAGTCTATATTTTAAGTCCTTGTTAATGGTCACTATGCAAAAATCATCCATATCGAGAACTTTTTATATCATCCAAATGAGCCAAAAAAAATAACACAATTCGTTATACAACATCTCTCTTGTGGGTTTTGTTTGGATGCATGATGGCTTTGCTTTGATTAGTTGTACGGAGCTAGGGTTGCTAAATGTCTCTCCTTTTTATGGGAGAGACTTGTGGAAAAGTTTACAGAAATTGATTTCGTACGGTGCCATGGCTTTTGCTTGCTATAAGCTGGATGGTTTCGGAAACGTTTCTTTTGTCCCAATGCAAGGAGACAATGATGATTTATTGCTTGGCTAATGATATAGAACCCTTTTAATCATCAGTCAAATTCGCTAGAACTTCATGGAATATGTATCATGTCCATTCATGATTATTTCATATGCTCGCACTCAAACAACAAATAACACAGAGATTTGATACCAACTATAATGTGTGACCGATTATATAATAATTTTTTAATTGTTAAGGATAAGAAAATTATTAGAAACGGATTGTCGATATATCATCAATAGTATATCAAAACGAACCACTATGTTCAATATATTTTCGACATAATCGATACAATATCGATGTGTACCCTATAGATACAGAGAGTGTCCGATATATACTATATTCAGAAGTTTTATTTCAGCTGAGCCAAGTGGAAAATGTGGAACAGTCTGCACATCAAACAAAATTAAATTTGTAGGTCACCATTTCCCTTGATTGGTCATGATTTGATAAAAGGAAACTCTACTGAACAACCAATATAAAGCCATGATCTATCATTTATGAGTATGACCTTCTCATATATTCATGCTTTTTCATGGACACCTGTGGAAGATAAAAGAGAATAATGAGAGGGAACCAAAGTTGGATGCATCAGTTGCTTCTAGAGCTGACAATTTGTTCACACCTTTGCTCTTTAACTTTAAGAGACGGGACTGGAGTTTGGACATTATTCAACAATATGATTGCCAAATTTTCTTGTTTGAAACCCTAATTTTTGAGAAGAGAAATTCAAATTCAGACGGCAACTAAACTAACTCACGTCCCCAACAGTTTTATATGTTATTGACATATACAAAACATTGCAAGTAGAATAGACGTGGCCGACTGATTGGCAAGAACAATACAACATGTGGGTCAGCACAAAAAAACAGGTGGAACATAAAAAAAAACCACATGGATTGTCTTCCTCCATAGAGCCAATAACTTAACTTAAGCCATGTCGACCGATTTAAAAAGAAGAAGAAGAATTTCCCAAACAAAGTTATATAGATATATGCCACTTATGGATACTATAGTTCCTTCTGAATGTGCTTGTTGATTGAGAGCCTGCCCCGATTTCTGTGTTTAATATATATTTTCCTCCAATTCATAATTGTCATTCCTGTGGTGAACATTTTACAGCAATGTTTGGCATCAGAACAATTATTTCTCCCTTGGTACATCTGGTAAAAGCATTTAATGAAAAACTGTATATGACTGTCATAGTTCAGTTCAAAGAAGTTAATGAATGTGGTCCTCTGCAATACTGTTCACACAGTAAGTTTGAATTCGCGCAATCACTTATAAGTTACACATGTAAAATTGGTAAACATTGTTTGGTATCGGACATCAATTTATAGTACTTGATACTTAATCAATAATATAGATACGATAAAGAGATTGTTTGGTATCGGATATCAATTTACTTCGACAAAACTATCTGATATCAATCAAAAAAAATATCCCCTCTTTAAAGCTCCAAACTATCGGATCTCAATCTACTTGGTCAATAAGCTTAGATCTGCATGTTATTGTTCTTTTTTGTTGTTAAGCTGTTGCTCTAATTATTTATGCTCAACAGGTGCTCTGTCAAGAACCGTTACCTTAGATGGATAGGGGGAATGAATTAACCTCAGGTCCTCAGAAACCTCAGCTCACAATAAAAGCCGAGACACACAAAAGATTCCACAAAACATGTAAAGCCAATTAAACCAACAGCCTGCATAACCAGTCATGTCAACTACAGCCTACAGAAACAGGATCAAATCAGCCCTACTTTTAGGCTTTTTACTTCCTTTCTCAAATAATGGGCAACAACGGTTAAAAAAATAACTGAAATAACAGGAATAACTGTAACCACAAGAATTGGTCAAATATATATATATATTGAATGGTTATTATTTTATACATAGTTTTTCTTTCACATAAAAATTAAAGTTCCAAGCTTTAACTACCACCACCACCATCATACAGGGTCTTGGAATTTGTGCATTTGCATAATAAGAGAGACTAAGGAAGAGAGAGGGAGAGTCCAGAATGGACAGGAACAAGGGATCTAGAAAAAGATTTGGGCTTTGTTGGTCGGTTGTTATCTGTCCTCTGTGTTCTTCATCCATTGATATTGCTGCTACCCTTTATTCATTTTCAGAGCCCACTATATATTGTACTTGGAACCAGTGCCTTTGGCTTTGGGTGAAGAAGCCCCTCTCCAATGGAACTGATGATGCTAATTTTAAATATAAAAAAAAGGAAGAAATTTTTTCATGTCTGAGTTTCTTTTTCTCTGGTTTTGGCTGGCCTTTTTGCAGTAGTCTCCTCACAAACTGGAATAAGACCAATAAAAAAAGAAGAGAGCTTTATCAATTTGAAGTCAACAAAAGTGGAACATATTTTTAAAAAAATCAATACAAGTACATGGTATTTGTTTTTAATTAACTTGAAAGTATGAGACAGGAATTGAGGGGCCAACCATATGCCTGTATGCTTGTGGGGGCAGCTTCTTGGATTATATTAATTGAAAGTTGTTGCCGAAACCAGATGGATGGAGAAAGTTTTGTCTTTGATCCTCCACATCCCACATTAGGCTTTCACTGTCCTGAAAATGATATGTTTGTCATGGACCTCAAGGTTAGAGAAATAGGATTAATTATTCACCCAAAAAAAAAGAAAAAAGAAAAAAGAAAAAGAAAATAGTACTTGCTATTTTTGAAGAAAAATTGGAAATGGGTTAGCAAGATTTGGTCAGAAATATATACCTGAGAAAAGTCATTTGGCCTCTGCCCTTGTTGAAGTAGAATTGAAGCTGAACCGTCCAGGAAAGGATAGTTGTTAGCTGTGGAGAAGGTGGTGATGTTGGTAGATGTATCAGCAAAAGCTGTGGGCTGCGTGGGGCTGCATTGTGGCACAGATGGATATGGTGATGCCATGCTACTCAATCTCTGAATTTACATGTCAGATAAACAGATAAATATATTAATGGCAAAAAGAAAAAGAAAAAAAGAAGTCAGTAAATTGGTCAAAGTGCAAAGGGTGAAGTTCTAGCTATTTACCTCTGGTTTGACCATCAAAGCACCCAAGTCCATTCCCAAGTCATAGAACAAGGGGTTCACAGAAGCAAGCTTCATTGAGAGGAACTGGAAAAATGATGGATAAAAATAAAATCATATTGGGTAAATTCAGACAGTTAAGGAGATAAATTTTACATGTGGGTTTTACAGTAAAAAACAGTTTGAAGTAATTGTTGTGGTACCTCCACTTGATTTTGTAGGGACTGGACATAATTGATAATTTCATCCAGCATCACTGCCCTTCCAGTGACCTATATGTTTAAAGCCAATCACATGAATCTGTCAGAAAATTACACTATTTCTAAAAACATAATACATACAAGTCCATATTAAGGTAAGAGCGACAAGGAAGCTTAGAGAGAGAGAGACAAGGAAGCTTAGGGAGCTTGGTTCCACCTTGTCACAGCCAGGAACAAGTCTTTGCAGCATCTTCATCCTCTCACTGATTTTCTCTCTTCTTACCTGAAAAAGGAAAAAAGTTACAATTATGAGACATAATTGGAATTTTGGGTATGTTGAATGAAATTTCATGTTTTTTTTGTGGATAAAACTGAAATGATGGGTGGCCATACGTTCCAAGAAAATGATAAAGACTGAATTTTTTTTAGTACCCTCTCTGCAAGGCTGTGGCTATCAGTAGCCTGACCCCTCCTTGCTCTAACATGAATGTAACCTGTTGGAGGTTCATCTCCAACTTTGACCTGGTCTTTTTTATCTGATTTAGCCTTCTTTTCCTCAGCTTTCTCGGCACCATCCAATTTCTTTTGCTTCTTTCCCTTGTGCTCTCTTGAAGCCTAATGGAAACCAAATCACAATTAAAGTACCCAACTTTGTGTGCCAAATAAGATCTAAAGTTCTGTAAAATTCAGATGGAAAAAGAAAAAGAAAAGAACTTTGTATTGTTTATACCTTGGATTGAGCAGAATTCAAAGATGATCCATTTCTGTTCTTTCTCTTCTTGTCCATAGAAGTCACTTTCTGAGTGACCTGCTCACCAGTTTCAAGCTTATCCACCACAGTTGAGGACTCTGTGCTCTGTTTCTTGGTCACAGAAGGCTCATTGTCACTGAGAGAAACCTTTGCTGAGCTGTGATCAACAGTACAGCTGCTTTCAACAGCTCTTGAATCAGTATTATGAACTTCCTGGATCAAAGGCTCAGAAGGGTAAGATGGAGAGAAATGGTCATCAATGTTGATGTTGTTAGGAGTGTAGGGCAAGAAAATTGAATCAAGGAGAAAGGCAGGGTGGTATGAAAAGGCTGCCATATTATATAACAAAATAAAACTGAGAGCCTTGGAATTGGAAAATGGTCAAGTGTGGGAGGAGCGAAAGTGATAGAAGAGAGACTAATTGAAGCCTGAGGCAGAAAGTAGCAGTCGAGAAAAGTGGATATGGGTTCTGTCTGTGAGAAACTAAGAGGCCAGTGGCTTATATAAAGATGAGAAGGGTAGATAGAAGAAGACACATCCAAATTATGTATAAAATCTTTTGTAACTCATTCCCATGCAAAGTTTCTGTACATTTGACCAGTCTTATCTCATCAATCCCTCTCTCTCTCTCTCTCTCTCTCTCTCTCTCTCTCTCCATGAATTAATATGCAGTACTGTTCATGAAAAGGGCAAGATGAAAAATATGAGGAGCTGATAAAAAATAAAAAACATAGGTATATTTATTGAATGCATGACTGACTGGACAAATAAAAACCAAAATGGGTTCTTAATTTACTGATAGAAACAATAATTGGTTAAGAGCTGTAGCATAAAGCAAAAGCTCAAATCAAATCAAATCAAATCAAAGACAAAGTAACAACGAGGCTCTATATGTATAGCTTCTGCAAAATTAAATGAGCTGAGATGAAAGCACCCTTTTCATTAGCAAAGGACTAAACATGATTGACCTACATTTTCGGTGTGTGCTAGTTGGTCATCTGAATTCTGAACAGTCTAATTCTTAAACATTAAAATAAAAGTGACTGTGTAAATGAACAGAAGAAATTGAAACCAAAAGCTGCTTCTCTTCTCTTTCCTCTGCCATTCGTTTGACGCCAAAGAAAGGTATATGATGATGTTCTTTTTCAGTTTGGGGAGAAGTACTGCCCTGCCCCTATCTTGGATTCATGATCCAACTTTTTTTCTTGTTGCACCAAAAATATACACCTCTACCCTCTTGTAATTGTACGTAATTTCTCTTTTAAGAGAAGATAGAAGTATGATCTCACCGATGATTAATTTTGCACTCTCTGAAGGGCCTGGTTGGTTTGATTAGTGGCTTAAACTCAAATTTAGTTATCTAAAAACCTCCATACATTCATATTTGAAACCACAAGGTGCGGTACGGTTGGCAAACTGTCATATCTAGCTGGCGAGAAATCTAATGCCTCAATGGCAGGGATTCGAAACCCGTTGAAAGCACTTTGTGAACAGGGACAAGCCGAACTCCGAGCGGAGATTAATTTCACCATTCGAATGTGAAGACACCTCGTGATGTTTATTCAAATATATATATATATATATATATTAATTAATGCTGGTATAGAGGATTCTCGCTAACTCGCTTAACAAATAGTTGTGAAGACATGATTGATAAGTCAAATCAAAGTGGAATTCCCACGCATGTTCTTACAAAATGGAAATTCGACATTAAAAAAAGTTCTCTCTCTCTCTCTCTCTCTCAAAGAAACTTGTATCTTTAAACGTACACCATGCTTTTGCAATCTTTTTATATATGCCACATACATCAAGACATGCTGTCCCAAATTAACAATGGATGTGCTCCAATTATATTCATAATTAAGACATTTTCCTTTATTAATTGAAACAAATTTGGGCCTCCGTACCGTCTATGCTATAGGTTCCCCATTGTTAGTGCCCATTGTCGGGCCATATAAAAAGTTACATACACACACACACAAGCATAACTTTAGAGGATTCTCTTTGTAATTCATCTTAAGATTATAACTTTTTGAATTATCATACAACATTCGAAGAGCTACCAAATGAGGAACACGAAACCGAACGCAAAGATGAGGAAGCTTTTGTCCGTGAGATTGACCACGTGCCCTTAACCACATGTACTTAAGATTATTTAATTGTTAAAAGTTAATTTACCACATGTGATCCTAAAGTGGAAAATGTAATTTGACTTACTGATTACAACTTTTAGAAGAAACTTTTGTGCGAAGTTAATAAAAAGCGTTGGAGTTGTCGTTTTGGTTTGATATTTGCTTTCAATTACTTTGAAGTACGTACAGAATTCAGAAGGAAAAGCTGTGTGTATTTGTGTGTGTGTGTGCTATGACTTGTCTCTGTGCATGAAAATTAAAAGAGCATCATGGGGTTCGAGAATCGTAAGGTATCTTTCAGTCCTCCCAGGAGCTCTCTTTGGTCCATGCAATGCAATGCCATCAAAAGCATCATTTGCCACAGCCTCTCTGATTCATTCTGACTTTTCGGATGGTTTTTTTTTCTTCGTTTTTCACATCTGTCTTCATTTTCATGAGAGATAGTGGTCCCTTCTTTCTTGTGTCATCTCCAACGTTCTCAAATCCATAACTTCCTACATATTTTCTTGGGATATTGGCAACCAATCACTTTCTTTGTTGAAATCGTATGCTGAGATTTTTGAATGACCCATATCCCGTTGTCACACAACTTAATACGTGGCTAATCTCACCTAACATGATTTAAATATCTTACTTTTATTTTATAAGAGATGACACAATGTAATAAGGAGGAAGGCAATTAAGCAATAGTCTCACAACTTAAAACTACCGAGTGAAAGTTGAGAGAAACCTCATAATGTAATAATGTGATACGACTTTAATCGCAAAGCTTTGTTGCTTTTAATACTACCTCAAACCCTAGAATTACTAGGAAGCAAATATACCCTTAAAACATAAAACATTGTTTTGACCTAACAAAGCGGCAAGTTATGAACCCAAATTAGACTCGAAATCCAAATCTACAAGGGTTAGAATTTCGTGTTTATGAGCCTACGCGCATGTGAAGTTTTCGATCATTTCTGTCATTTCCTCTGTACATCAAGAAAATAGATAAAATCATTTTTAAGAAATTAGAAATCAAACCGAGGTTATTCTCCCATTACCAATTGATTTTGGCAATATCTGGTACATACATAAATGATGAAATTCAATTTTGTCGGTCTGAACTGAACTTGGACCGTGGAAACTTGGGACCGCTTCTTCTTTTAATACCCCCCCTCTTGGCCGGTTCTTCAAATTACTCAAATCATGAACTACGAATATGGTCGAGAAATAAATGCACCTAATTGACTGGCTAACTAGAACCGTGTTGTAGTGAAGAAAATCACAACTGGCACTAGTAATGTATGATTTTATTTTGAGCACGTTTTCATCGTTTAATAATTTCCTTTTTCTTCTTCTTCTTCTTCTTCTTCTTCTTTCTCTTCCTCCTCCTCCCAAAACCCTAAACCCTGCAACAACCAAAATCTGTCCTCTCAAAACTTTGAATGATTTTGTGGTGGGGTGGCTGCATGCAATGTAACAAACATTATTAATATTTGATGATTGGTGGGTGGCATTAGCAAATCTCTGTTGAGTGTGACGAGTCTTATTGACTAGGGCGTGAACGACGGGGGGGGGTCCTTTTATTGTCACCATTCTCTCTTCTTGTACGTGCACTGTAAAACAACACACACACACACACACTCTCTCTCTCTCTCTCTCTCTATATATATATATATATGCAGTCGGTGCACACGTGCCAGCTCCTCATCACTACAGCTAGATCAGAGACTTTGAAGAATTGAATCTGAAAAAAAAAGGAAAAAAAAACGTGTGAAACGTATGATTTCTCCAATGTAATGGTTAAAAAAATATATACAAAATTATTGAAGCCAGGAAATGGCAGTTCGAAACATGGAAAACGGGAAATGGGAAGCTTTTGGTATCTTCACGGTCACAAAATAGTACAAGTAAAATAATTGAAGCATGGAGATCATCATGACCAAGAAAGAAAACAAAAGAGAGAGAAAATCCAGGAGATAAGGCATGCAACATGCAAACCTTAACATATGTGAGGATACGGTGGCTTTTCCAAACTCTCAATGTTAGGCTCAGACTGGCCCAAAAAGGAAATTTTACCCATCTCGGAATTCAATTTCGTAAATAAATAAAAACATATTTACAATGAGGGCATATGCATTGTATTTACCCAAATGCAAGCTCGATCTGATGGAAGAACCTTCATTTAATTTCGTAGGCTAGGCACGCACCTTCTCTGGTTCTTATATGTTAGTTGTTCATTAATGCACTTTGTCTGTATCACACAAAGGACAATGTGTTTTGTCCGTTGAATGTTACATATTACGCGTTAAGGAATGCGCTCTATTAAACCATATCTCTCGAAGTGGTAGTCCGACTTACTGTATGTGTAAAAAAAACATATTAGATTTTGCTATCTCCGAATATTAATATATCCTAAATAATCATATAAACATCAATCAACGTCTAGTCCAAAATATTTTCCTTTGGGCAGCTTTCTGCATTTTTCCTCCTAAAGTCATGCGGCATATCTGATATATCTGTTTGATTTTGTGATGTGAAAGGTAATGAGGAAAGATCTCTTGATAACTACCGTTGTGTTATGCTCGGTGGAGTTTTTTTTTTCTTTTCACAAATCAAATCTTTAAGAAAGCATCCAAGTTAATCAGATGGGGGTTTAATTTCTTCTGGGAAATTGCCTGAAAATGTCATGAATGCATACAGATTTGATCAAATTGTCGTTTGGTTTGGACGAGGGTTTTGTAGTGAAATCGCTTTCAAATTGGAACTGTCGGTTAGTGTTGCCTACGCGTAAACAGATAATGGACTGTGGCCAGCTGACAAACTCATCCAATCTCAATTTGATAACTAGTAAAAAGAAATCTAAAACCTTTAAGATCAAAGATCTGCATAAAACGAGTTCAATGAAAGCAGATGCATGCATGCCTTGCCTGCCGCAGCCGTATAGTGGCAAATAAACATGTAACATCACAAATATATATTTGTGGCATTTGCATGCCTAAATCTTTGTGTGTAACATCACAATTTAATGAATTTATGCCAATCTTTTCCTCCATCCACCTAATTTGGCTGCCTCTTTTTCTTTCTAGATCCAATATTCATGCTTTTTTACTCATTCTTTCCGCTCTATCTATCAATTAGTGATACATATGATATGTAATGTGAGCTGGTTTATCCCATGTTTCTACGGTACGTTTTCGTACTCAATACAGCTACATAAAAATATTATACATTTTTCAATTATTATGGTTCATTGAGGAGTATCTTTGACCCTTAAAGTGGTGTTACATCGTTCAATGAGCCAAATCTACCACTAGATGGGCTATGATGACCTAGCGAGCGATATTTTATACGTTCAAAGTTTGAACTAATCCAAGTTTAGGGAAAAAATTAGGTTGTATAAGTAACTTGCAATTTACAAGTAATCATAGACAAGATTGATTAAATATGTAATGACAATGTTGATCAATACAACCTATGATCATATGCTCTAATAACACTCATTTTGTGGAATAAAAATACAACTTGAGCCACAGTACATGACAAACTTGGGCCGAACTCACGACGTACCCCAAGAACCAGTTCACGTGGATCTTGGATCGATGAACCACTTCTTAAGATTTCTGAATTTACATGAGCCAAATTTGGGATTGAGCCCACTACTAGATTTTGTGCGAGGAATGGCCCATGTGGCCCAGCTAATCCGAACTCAGATTTTCATGTGGCTCAAACATTTCCGGTGAGTCAATCTGTCTGTGACTTCTGTCCCTGTTTTCTAAAACCCTAACATTGGGTTTAAGCTCTGCACCTAAAACCCAGTCGGTGAATGAATCAACTCGGCCATGGTGATTTCAAGCTTTGGGATTGCGTGCCGACCCCAATTCTACCTCCGTACCCCTCAATTTCAATGCATTAACAAGGTAATTTCATGCATGCATTTGTGCGTACTTAACATGAATGTGTGAATTTGAGTATGTATATGTGTGAGCTCGGTATGAGCCATTTGTTGCCATCCATTTCAGGTGCAATTGAACTTAGTCGCGGCCATGGAGGCACTTGATGAGCCAGAGGGTCAATTTAAGGACAATAAAACCAATAACTCAGCTAATGGAAGAAGCAAGTTTCAATTGTTCCGTTTTAGTTTTGATGACTGTGATTTGGGTTTTGTATTTTGGGACCTTTAAAATGGTTTTCTAACTTTTAATTTTTTACTTTTTTCGGAGTGAAGATGATGTTAAGGCGCCGGCGTGGAAGAAGTTGAATTCCAAAGAGCTTGGGATTACTACATCAAAGATTGACAAGCCGATCCGAAAGGTTCTTAACGGACTAAAGCGAAAGGGTACGTATTATTTTGGTGTTTAGTTAGTGATAAAGTTTGAAATTGTGGTTGAATTTGGTTTGTATTATTTTTGTGACCTTGTTGTTTTCTATTGTAGGATATGAGGTATACCTTGTAGGAGGTTGTGTAAGGGATCTTATATTAAAACGCACACCAAAGGACTTCGACATAATAACTTCAGCTGAACTCAAAGAGGTTTTACCCTGAATTTTTAATTGAATGTTAGCCGGGTTTGTGTTGATACCTTAAGTTGTTTCTAGCTTGTAGCATCTGCAAATGGTATTTTCAGGTGACAAGAACATTTTCTTGGTGTGAAATAGTTGGCAAGCGGTTTCCTATATGTCATGTGCACATTGGTGATACGGTTGTGGAGGTTTGTATTTGTCCTAGTGCTAAACTAATTTTCAACTAATAATGAGCTATGTCTAATTGGTTGCGCATTGGGGTTGCTACCATTGCAAACTGAAATTCTAGCATACTTCATTATATATATATGTGTGTGTGTCTGTGTGCTGGCACACACATTTTATATGTAATGCTAACTTTTGTACTCATAATAGGTCTCAAGTTTCAACATTTCCGCCCGAAAGTATGGTAGGCACATAAGTGCTGATTTTGGAAAACCAGTTCACTGTGACGACAAGGATTATATTCGTTGGAGGAACTGTTTGCAGCGTGACTTTACAATTAACGGGTTGTTTATGAAATCCTTGTTACTTGAAATTTGGCACTTAAAATTCATCCTTCTTTTTACTTATTGTAGTTTTCACTTTTTCTTTTTCAGGTTGATGTTTGATCCTTATGGAAGGATAGTGTATGACTACATGGGAGGAATGGAGGACATTCGAAAAGCTAAAGTGTGCTTGTATTCTTAGAAGTTGTGGTTTCTTAAATTACTTTAGCCTAGCTGGCAAATACATTGTCCTCACATCATCTTCTTTGGGCCTAGGTCCAAACCGTGATACCTGCAAGTACTTCTTTTCGAGAGGATTGTGGTGAGTTTTTGTTTGCTTTATTTTGTGTGTACATGGGTAACTGCTAAGTAGTTGTTATCTTCCGTGGGGGGTGTGTTCTAAGAACACACCCAACCCATGCACACTTGACAAACTCTTTCTCATGTTTATGGAGAAACTAAATCAGATTCTGCGTATGTGCAGCTCGCATCCTACGTGCAATAAGAATTGCTGCCCGTTTAGGCTTTCGTATTTCCAAGGAAACAGCTCATTCTGTTAAAAATTTATCTTACTCAATTCTTAGGCTTGATAAGGTAGTTTAAGAGATCTTGGACCTTATCATTTTCCTTGCACTTAATATTCTTGAGTTCTTGAATTACTTAGTCATCACTTCATACTTTAGGGAAGGCTCCTCATGGAAATGAACTACATGCTAGCTTATGGTTCTGCTGAAGCTTCTTTGAGGTTATTATGGAAATTTGGACTTCTAGAACTACTTCTACCTATTCAGGTATGGATGAATAAATTTGCTACTTGTCCGCACAGTACAATAAGTTTCAATACAGTTTCATATTGCAGGCAGCATATTTTGTTAGCCATGGTTTTCGAAGACGTGACAAAAGGACTAATATGCTTTTGGTAACTATCCTTACACACTTGTTATATGCTTATTCAATACTCGATTATATCGTGAAGAGGGTTTGACCTAAAAGTGCATTTAATTCTCTGGCTTTCCACATGCAGTCCCTTTTTTCTAACTTGGATAAACTTCTTTCACCTGACAAGCCATGCCACAGTAGCTTATGGTAAGATGTTTATGATAACAGAATGCTCTTGTGTTTTCTTTATGCCATTAATAACAGGCGATTGAAAAGATAGAAGATTGAAATGGTTTAATTGGTCATACTTGCATTGTATCAGTTTTTCTTGGATTCTCATGTTATTGAACAGTATTTCTTTGGTGTGGTGTATGAGACTCCTGCCATTGGGAGGTTTGGGGAGGGTTAGATGTATGCAAGCCTTATCCTGCATACTTACAAGTTGTTCCATGTTTTGAATTCCTCCAGATTGTACTTTTGTTTCAAACAACATAAAATTCCTCCAGGTTGTACTGGAGTACTCTTGCCGTTGCATCATATTTCTTCGCAATTTGTTTGCTCCTTTTTCTTTTTATTGGTCTGAGTGATCTAAGCAGATTAAGTTGCATGATTCTCTTATATATTTGAGATTCTAGGATGTATACTTACAAGCTCATTACGAGTTGGACCAACTGAGACTCATCACAGGTTTACATTTCCAGGGTTGCGATCTTAGCATTCCACAAAGCACTGTCCGAACAACCTAGGGATCCATCGGTGGTTGCTGCATTTAGCCTTGCAATCCACAATGGTGGAGATATGCTAGAAGCAGTAAACATAGCTAGGAGAATCACTAAACTACACGATGTTAGCTTTAATGAATTATTAGAAACTCAGGATTTGAACCCTCGAGCATTGAAAGATGAGGTTGTGAATCTTGCAACATCTCTTAAGCGTGCGCTAAACCATATGACTGATGAGCAAATAGTCTCTGAGGCAATGGCAGGGTACCCACAAGCACCATATTCTGATCTGGTGAGCACTTCCTTCATTTAAATATTTCTTGTCCGCATAACAAGATTTTTTGTTTTTGGTTGCTGTTTGTGTGCATTCATCTCATTTATTGAGAAACTCTAAAGGGTTATTGGGTTTGATCTCAACTTCCAGGTATTTATCCCATGGGGGTTATCTCTGAGGGTCAGCAGGGTTTTTAGTTGCGTAACGTCTGGTGCAGAGAGGGGATTTGTGCCAAAGCAAGGCAGCAAGATTGATTATGAGTCATTGGCTCTGGGAAACCTGCCGGAAGTTCGGCATATTTTTGCAAGAGTTGTGTTTGATACCATATATCCGCTTAGTCTAAATCGTGACAATTTTGAAACATGAATACATGTTTGTGAGAACAATTTTAAACAATTTATAACAGTAAATCATGGGAATTGTTTTTTCCCCCTTTTTTCCCCTCACCTGCCTACTTAGCAACATGATTGCCTACAAGTGCAAAGCCTTGGAAGGGCTCTGATATAATAACAGGATGTTTTTATAATTTTATTGTATTCATTTGTTTGACATGGTGCTCACTCCATTGAATATCTGTAAAATTGTTACTGAATATCTCCATTAACATAATTCAAGGTACAAGCAGTTGGAATTTTTTATTTTTATGTTACATATTCCTCCATGGGGAACTTTACCCCAAACATCGCCCTTTCAAAGAAACCGGGCAGCAAATGGCATGAAGAAAAAGTATACAAACAAAATTTGTACTGTATAATGTACAAATCATCAGCTTCAGTTTCAAGCCTTGGCAAGCTCGGTGGCAGCGGGAGCAGGACCACCGGTAGTTGGCCTGGGAAAACAGAGCAGTTTGCAGAAATGGATAAGTATGAAGTTTCCAAGCATAGGATATGGAAAATCACAAGGAAAATGAAGGGATCATAGACTTACAGCCCAACCAAAACTTTGCAAGCGTCATAGAGAACCCATTGGCCTCCAGTGAGGGTTCCAATCATGAATATTCGAAGAGGAAGACCACGAGTGAAAAGACCTAATAACCCTAGCTTATTCACAGCCTGCAAGACATCAGCAATGAAAACAAAAAACTGAGCATAGAGAAAGAAAGAAAGAACAAAAAAAGGGTTTATGTTCTGCATGCATATATATAAAAACTCACATCACCAACGGTTGCTCCCTTGGCATTGTTTAGGAAAGAGACCAAGTTGTCAGCTGGGTGTGAGACAACAGCACAGAATACACCAGCAATATATCCACTGGCAAAGCTCACCCCCAGCTGCAAAGGTTTGCTGCATTGCTCTTTAGGTGTTGGGATGGCATGCTTGTACATCAGCTCGATTGTATTCTCGAACAACGCAAATTTCATCATAGTATCTGCAGAAATAAAATCCCAAAATGTTAAAATTTGATTTCAGTGCATCAAGATATCCAAATGAGATGAGGGAAACCTTTCAAACTTACAAGGAACCTGACGTCCCCAAAGAGGCACAAGCCCCTTGTACAGCCTGCAACACAGTAAAAGTTATCACAAAACCAAGGTTCTTCAAACACAACAACCAAAAGAATTTGAAAGGATTCGAATTCGAACCCGAGAGCGCCTTCGGATTTGATGATCTTTGGAAGCCCGTCTGCCAAGCCTCTGGCGAAGCCGGGCTGAGTTTGGACACGAACTTTGACAGCTTCCATGGGACAGAGGGCAACATCAGCAATGACTTCAGCTGATGCAGAGCCTGCAAGGTAGATCAAGGTCTTGTACTTGGCTGCATACTCCGGCCCTGCAATGTCTGTGTAGTACTTCTTGAAAAACTCATAGAGGCCAAACTTTCCAGCACCCTGGGCGCTGTAGCCGATCAAGGTGGGCGCCCAGCCCTTGAACAAACCTCTGATGCCCTGCTCCTTCAACAGAACTCCAAATCCGGATGTGACGCTCTTGTACTTAATTGGGTCAATCTGAATTGTTAATATCAGCAACATAATTTTTGTCAAGACTTTCTATAGAAAATAAAATGAAGAACAAAATTGGGGCATGATACATTGAATGAGTTCAGAAACAACATAAGTAATGCTACGATATTTCTACAGACATACTTGATAATAGCTTGGTCATGCTAATTGAGGTAATAGATACATATTAGCTACTCAATTATTTGTGTGATCGACTAACGTGATCAGAAAATGTAACACTAAGATTAGATCAGTTGGCCAAGGTGGTGAGTTCGCCCCTTACACACAAGTTTGAATCCCCTTTTTTCGTAGATTAAATCAATTTAGAGTATTTTATACTATCGCTTATATGAAAGAAAAATGTATTTAAAAAATATTAAACTACTTTTTTTTTCCCCAACTTATAGGACAGCTCGACCTGCATTTTTTGAAAACAAAAACAAAAACAAAAACAAAAGGAAAAAGAAAGAAAGCTTGACCTGCATATTACACTTGACGACATCGATAGGAGTGACGGCCGTATGGGTTAGGCCAGTGGCCAGCATACCTGCAACTCCACACGCCGCATAGAACTCACCAGAGTACATCTCCACCTTCTCTCTAGGCGCTGCAATCACCACCCTTGATGACGGTGATGATGATGCATAACCTGATGCCACCATTGAAGAAGATGAAGAGTAGAGGAAGCTTGGGAGGAGAGAGTGGCGAGAGATTTTGTTGTTGAGTGGATCTGCCATCATTGATTGATTGAAGTCTCTCTCTGTAATTTTGGAAGGCTCTGCCTTTTGGTGGATGCACACCTCGAAAAATATATGCGTGGCGCGCAATTTATATTGAAGCTTTTCTTAAGACAGTTAATTCACGGCGTTGACCAATCATTCAAAACTTTTGAATCAAAAGCCTTGTCGATAAGCCGGGACGTAACCAGTTTCGTTTCTTCCACGTTCAAAGAATCTTCTTCCTCTCAGACCAACAAAAAAAAAGAAAAGAAGAATCTTCTATGAAGGTAAAAAATCATCTTCGGCTCTTGTGGTTTGTCTGATTTTTCACTTTTGTTTATGCGGTTTTTATTCTGACAATTTAACTCCTATAGTTCAAAAGTATGTTTAAATTTCTGTTTTATTATGTGACACAGTAAGTACGTGTCGATGACATTGAAGGGTATTTTTGACGGAATTGAAAGAAATTTGACATAATTTATAAGGTGCCTTTGAATTTACGGGAAATATAAAACTACAATGACAAAATTAACAAAATTAAAACTAATTGAGAAAACAGACAAACTACATGGATGGATGGATGGTCTAGTTGTTAATTTGTCCCATCTGGCAACTTGTACCTGAATTCCAAGGGCCCACCCATGATTTCCAATCTCTGCCACGTAAGTAGAAGATAGGGCGGCTCTGTTCCAATAGGGCACAACTTTACCTCACCCTCACCATATCTCTCTGTTTTGAGTAACAAAGTTTTTGTGGTTTGGTTTCTTGAGCAGCTCCAACGGCTTCTGCTTCAGCTACTTCTCTTTGCAGGTTCCAGCCCTTTCAAAACCAGCTAAGCAAGACTTCTGGCCTGGTATTAGCATTTAACCTAATTCTCTCTTTCTTTTTTTTTTTTTTTTTTTTTTTTTTTTTGGTTATCCTTTCTAAATTTTTGGTTTGCCTTATCTATGGATTGAATGTTGCCATCATTTGTTTTTTTTAATACTTTTTTTTATTGAATTATTGCCCAATTGAAGGTTTTTCAGACCAATAACTTAATGTGATTAAACTGAAAGTATAAATATGAGCCAATATCTGCTTTTGATGCTTATGAACTAATAATGTAGGTAACAAGAACAAGTTCAAGTTTACAATTGGTTTCTAATGGATGGGCTAAGACTGGCTTCTCTTCTCTGAGAACCTCTCGTCTCCAAATCTGTTGCGCTGTAAGTTGTTCAGATCGAGAAATTATTGTGTGCATCTGATACACGACGACATATTTCACTCGTAACAAGTTATATATTGAAAACCACATAATGAAAATTGAAAAATGGACAGGCCAAACCTGAGACAGTGCAAAAGGTTGTGGAGATTGTGAGGAAGCAACTGGCTTTGCCTCCAGAGTCTGAGATCACCCCTGACTCCAAGTTTGCATCCCTTGGTGCCGACTCTCTTGACACAGTATGCCCTGCTGCCACTATTTTCTACTCCAATTGATTATCAAATTCTATTTATGTATAGTGTTTTTAAATTAAATATTAAATTAATTATTATATATAATTTAGTGGTGGATAAAAATAAGATTGGATGATCTGTTGCAGGTGGAGATAGTGATGGGTTTGGAGGAAGAATTTGACATAAGCGTTGAAGAGGAGAGCTCTCAGAACATAAGCCCGGTCCAAGAAGCAGCTGATTTGATAGAGAAGCTCGTTGAGAAGAAAGCAGCTGCCTAATTATAATTAAGTTTGATTGGTTATGCGCCTAATTAAATTGTGACCTTTTCTTGATTTGATTTGGTGAGGTTGGTTGGTTGGTTTTGCATGTTCTGGATTGTATGACTTTTATTTGATCAATGATTTTCGTCAAGTTGCCTTGCTTTCTGTGTGATAATATATGCTCTAGTCTAGAGGTGCATGTTATTTGCCCTTCTTTTGTGTGCGTTAGATTAGGATATATTTCATGCATCGTAACAACGGACGTAATGTATCAACAAATGACAATTACTTACACGAACACAGTTGATAATGTATTTCCTACCAAATATAAGTAATTCTAAATTTTCAAACAATCAAAGATTATGAATGTAAAAGATAATGTGTATAGTTGATTAAATTACTCTTTTCATCCCCATAGTTTAGAGTCTAGACCATTTTCAGCTTATTAAGGCCATATTTATAATTTCTGCTCTAACCTTGAGTGTTTTGCATAAACATTAAATTTTGATAGTTGCGATTCTCTCTTATACGCTATAATTAAATCACTCACATCTGTGCGGTTGTGAATTGATGATCGACAAATTTAACTTATCAAATTTTACCCTATTAATAGTCTACAAATCATCCATACATCATAATTTTCCTTGAGGCATATTGATACTTGGATATTCAATTCTCTATCTCATGCATCAACTGTTGGCGGGAGAGTGCCACAAGGATATAGTAAGAATAAGAGAGAAAATTTTACAAAATTTATTTTCTAAGAACTCATTGTCCATTTACATATTTTTTGGTATTCATATTGATACTTATATTTTTTTTTTGTGTGCTAGAGTTATTACTATTGGTTTATTCTTAATTATTGTTACTTTTAGTTAACAGTCTATTGGGAAACTTGTAAATTCTGAACATGGTGATCTTATGGCTGATCGGATTCTGGTATTTTAATTAGTTAAAATTTGGGAGATTCACTATTATATCCAATATAGGGGTCCAAATTATAAAAATACCCCATATGAAATGAACTTTATAAACACACCCAAAGCTCATTTACAACATAACAAAAAGACTTTCAACTTCTTATAAATTACAAAATTGCCATCAATTTCTTAAAACAAGTACAACCCTAAAATCTCATAAAAATATCCAAAACACTCAATAGGCATCAAAGTAATTTAATAATCAATATTAAATTTAATAAGGCCAGCTGTCATTTTTTGAGTTTTTTTTGGATTTGTTCATAGAAATTCAATGATGTAGGGTTTATTTATAATATTAGTGCTAAGAATGGGTATATCACTAAATATCTCTTAAAATGTCATCATAGTATCTGCAGAAATCAAATCCCAAAATGTTAAAATTTGATTTCAGTGTATCAAGATATCCAAATGACATGAGGGAAACCTTTCAAACTTACAAGGAACCTGACGTCCCCAAAGAGGAACAAGCCCCTTGTACAACCTGCAACACAGTCAAAGTTATCATCAAACCAAAGTTCTTCAAACACAACCACCAAAAGAATTTGAAAGGATTCGAATTCAAACCCGAGAGCGCCTTCGGATTTGATGATCTTTGAGAGCCCATCAGCCAAGCCTCTGGCAAAGCCGGGCTGAGTTTGGACACGAACTTTGACAGCTTCCATGGGACAGAGAGCAACATCAGCAATGACTTCAGCTGATGCAGATCCTGCAAGGTAGATCAAGGTCTTGTACTTGGCTGCATACTCTGGCCCTGCAACGTCTGCGTAGTACTTCTTGAAAAACTCATAGAGGCCAAACCTTCCACCCTGGGCGCTGTAGCCGATCAAGGTGGGCGCCCAGCCCTTGAACAAACCTCTGATGCCCTGCTCCTTCAACAGAACTCCAAATCCGGAGGTGACGCTCTTGTACTTAATTGGGTCAATCTGAATTGTTAATATCAGCGACATAATTTTTGTCAAGACTTTCTATAGAAAATAAAATGAAGAACAAAATTGGGGCATGATACATTGAATGAGTTCAGAAACAACATAAGTAATGCTACGACATTTCTACAGACATAACTTGGTAATAGCTTGGTCATGCTAATTAATAGATGCATATTATGTACTCAATTATTTGTGTGATCGACTAATGTGATCAGAAAATGTAACACTAAGAGCAACTCCAGCGGAGCGCCAGAGCCTCGGGCTGGGGGAGAAAAACGAGAAAAGTTGTTTCCAGCGATGAGCCCAAGCCCAGGCAACATGTGGGTCCTACCAAATCGGGCTAGCCCAAAGGCCAGTTCAGCCCGTGGTCCAAAACGAGGGCTGGTGATGATGTCATCGCTGACGCCAGGCTAGCGTCAGCCCACTCATGTGATTTTTTTTTCTGTTGCCACGTGGCGTTGTCTGGGCTCTTCGATCTGATTTTTTCCTCCAATCCAACGATAACCAATTTTTTTGCAATAAAATACTGGAAAAAATTCCGAAATTTTTTAAAAAAATACCCAAAAATTAATGAATTTTTTTTCTATAAATACCAGCCAATTTTTTTAAAAAATTTACATGAAATTTGAAATTGAAAATTTTATCCGATTATGAGATTTGAATAGTATTGACATGTAGGAACCCGGAAATCTTATCCGAACATATTATCCAAATTAATTATTGAGGTAAAAAAAATTTGTGAAAAAACACAAAAAAATGAATAGTAATTGCCCTTAGCCATGGTAACGGGTGGACACACAAAATACTATTTGCAAGGGCAACCACTATTCACGTGAATAGTGGCTGCCCTAGCTCCCCCCTTGCCATGGCTGAGGATCCCGAGCTACAGCTTGAAGGCGCACTGACGTCAGCAGGCGCAAATCATTTTTTTTCTTTCCGCTGCCATGTGGCGCAACCTGGTCCTTCCGATTTTCGGTTTTTCATCCAATCAAACGGCCTAGAATTTTTCAAGGCAAAAAATTATGAAAAAAATCGTAAATTTTTTTTAAAAAATCCCAAAAAATACTGAATTTTTTTTCTATAAATACCAATCCATACTCTACACTTTTAACAACAAATTCACTTTCTACTCAATAATTTTTTCACTTTCAACTCTAAATTTTTTTCACTTTCAAGTTTAATTTTTCTCTATCAAAGAAACTATTAAATAAAATTCCTTTTTATTCAAAACATTCCATACATAAAAAAAACTAACCACAACCAAAGCATTAAATATATAAAAACAAACAAACCACAACCAAAGCATAAAAAAACCAAACAGAAAGAAACATAAACACATAAACATTAAAATCTTTAAAATGTTCTTCACTTCACTTCATTCACTGTCATTATCATAAAATCTCATCCGAAAATATTGTCAAAATTAATTGTTTAGGTAAACAAATTTGTGAAAAAAAACAAAAAATTGAATAGTACCCCCCTTTGCCATGGCAACTGCTGAAAGTGCAACTTACTTTTGCAAGGGTAGACACTATTCTCGTGAATAGTGTCAGCCCTAGCCCCCCTTGCCATGGCAAGATTCCCACTGTTGGAAGTGCCCTAAGGGCAAATGGGTGGAGTTGCTCTAAGGTTAGATAAGTTGGCTAAAGCAGTGAGTTCGCCCCTTATACACAAGTTTGAATCCCCTTTTTTTGTAGATTAGATCAATTTATAGTAGTTTATACTATCACTTGTATGAAAGAAAAATGTATTTAAAAAATATTAAACTACTTTTTTTTTCCCAACTTATAGGACAGCTTGACTTGCATATTTTGAAGAAAAAAAAACGAAGGGAAAAGAAAGAAAGCTTGACCTGCATAGTACACTTGACGACATCGATAGGAGTGACGGCCAAATGGTTTAGGCCAGTGGCCAGTATACCTGCAACTCCACACGCCACATAGAACTCAGCAGAGTACATCTCTACCTTCTCTCTAGGCGTTGCAATCACCACCCTTGATGACGGTGCTGATGATGCATAACCTGATGCCACCATTGAAGAAGATGAAGAGTAGAGGAAGCTTGGGAGGAGAGAGTGGCGAGAGTTTTTGTTGTTGAGTGGATCTGCCATTATTGATTGATTGAAGTCTCCCTCTGTAATTTTGGAAGGCTCTGCCTTTTGATGGAATTTGCACGTCGAAAAATATCTGCGTGGCGCGCAATTTATATTGAAGCTTTTCTTGAGACCGTCAACTCACAGCATTGACCAATCATTCAAAACTTCTGAATCAGAAGCCTTGTCAAATACTCAAGGTTAAGGGTGGCAATTTCGGACATGACCCGATACACGACTCGAAACCCGCACGAGAAATTAGCAAGTTCAACCCGCACGATAAAAAAACAGGTCAATTTCAGGTCAACCTGTTCTGACCCGTTTAATAAACGGGTGGGTTTCGAGTCAACCCGCTAACTCGCTATAATACATGTCTAACCCGTTTATTAAATGGGTCGTGTCAACCCGTTTGTTAAATGGGTCGTGTCAACCTGTGAAAAAATAAAGTGAAATGTAGAGTTCAACACACACACAAAGGGTTTCAAACCTCCACCACTCTCATTCCTCTCCAACACTTTATCCACCATGCTACATACAACTTTGTGATTATATACTATGCCTTTTGATATTTATAATGTTTCTTTTTCTTCTTTTGTTTTCCGTCTATCTTCTCCTCTCTCTTTTTTTCTTTCTTTTCCTTCTCTCTTCTCTCCTCTCTTTTTTATTCTTTCTTTTCCTTCTCTTTAGTTTTCTCTCCTCTCTTTTTTTTCTTCTTCCTTTTCCTTCTCTTTAGTTTTCTCTCCTCTCTTTTTTATTTCTTTCCTTCTCTCTTCTCTCCTCTCTCTCTGTCTCTATTTTTTTTTCTTTTCGTTCTCTCTTCTCTCCTCTCTCTATCTTTTTTTTTGTTTTCCTTATATTTTCTCTCCTCTCTCCATTTTTTTTATTTAAATTTTTTCAATTGTGAGTTTTGTAACATGCATGTTATTATTTATGGACCCGTTACACGACTCGAAACCTGCACAATAAAAGACGACCCGAACCCGACACGACACGTTTATTAAATATGTTGGTTTTGGATTAAGCATTCTTGACACGTTTATTAGCCCGACACGACCCATTGCCAGCCCTACTCAAGGTTTCGTTTCTTTAGCCGTTTCTACACATTCAACAAACCGAAAAAAAGAAAAGAAAAATCTTCATCCCCATACTCTAATAAATATGAAGGCGAAAAATCTTCGGCTCCTGTGGTTTGTTGGATTTTTCACTTTTGTTTAAGCGGTTTTAATTTTGACAATTTAACTCCTATAATTTAAAAGTATATTTAAATTTTTGTTTTATTATGTGACACAATAAGTACGTGTCGATGACAATAAATGGTATTTTAAACGAAATTGAAAGAGATTTGATATAATTTTACTACGTGACTTTGAATTGTAAGAGATTTAAAACTATAGAGACAAGATTAACAAAATTAAAACTAATTGAGAAAACAGACAAACTACATGGACAAAAAATGGACCTTTCGCTAATTATGACACTCATTCCAGACGACATGTCGTTTGTGTAGTAATGGCCGCCGGCCGGTAGGGAGATGGATGGTCTAGTTGTTAATTTGTCCCATCTGGCAACTTGTACCTGAATTCCAAGGCCCCACCCATGGTTTCCAATCTCTGCCACGTAAGTAGAAGATAGGGCAGCTCTGTTCCAATAGGGCACAACTTTACCTCACCCTCACCATATCTCTCTGTCTGTTTTGAGTAACAAAGTTTTTGTGGTTTGCTTTCTTGAGCAGCTTCAATGGCTTCTGCTTCAGCTACTTCTCTTTGCAGGTTCCAGCCCTTTCAAAACCAGCCAACCAAGACTTCTGGCCTGGTACTAGCATTTAACCTAATTTCTCTGTCTTTTTCTTTTTTTTTTTTTTTTTTTTTTTTTGGTTATCTTTGTAAATTTTTGGTTTTTATCTATGGATTGATTATGTTGCCATCATTTGTTTTTTTTAATACCTTTTTTTATTGAATTATTGCCCAATTGAAGGTTTTTCAGACCAATAAGTAAATGTGATTAAACTGAAAGTATAAATATGAGCCAATATCTGCTTTTGATGCTTATGAACTAATAATGTAGGTAACAAGAACAAGTTCAAGTTTACAATTGGTTTCTAATGGATGGGCTAAGACTGGCTTCTCTTCTCTGAGAACCTCTCGTCTCCAAATCTGTTGCGCTGTAAGTTGTTCAGATCGAGAAATTATTGTGTGCATCTGATACACAACGACATATTTCACTTGTAACAAGTTATATATTGAAAACCACATAATGAAAATTGAAAAATGGACAGGCCAAACCTGAGACAGTGCAAAAGGTTGTGGAGATTGTGAGGAAGCAACTGGCTTTGCCTCCAGAGTCTGAGGTCACACCCGACTCCAAGTTTGCATCCCTTGGTGCCGACTCTCTTGACACAGTATACCCTGCTGCCATTATTTTCTACTCCAATTGATTATCAAATTCTATTTATGCATATGGTTTTTAAATTAAATATTAAATTAATTATTATATATAATTTATTGGTGGATAAAAAAATAAGATTGGATGATCTGTTGCAGGTGGAGATAGTGATGGGTTTGGAGGAAGAATTTGACATAAGCGTTGAAGAGGAGAGCTCGCAGAACATAAGCACGGTCCAAGAAGCAGCTGATTTGATAGAGAAGCTGGTTGAGAAGAAAGCAGCTGCCTAATTATAATTAACTTGAGTTTATAATTAAGTTTGATTGGTTATGTGCCTAATTAAATTGTGACCTTTTCTTGATTTGATTTGGTGAGGTTGGTTGGTTGGTTTTGCAGGTTCTGGATTTTGTATGACTTTGATTTGATCAATGATTTTCGTTATATGCTCTAGTCTAGAGGTGCATGTTATTTGTCATTCTTTTGTGTGCGTTAGATTATGATATATTTCATGCCTCATAACAACGGACGTAATGCATCAACAAATGACAATTACTTATACGAATACAGTAGATAATTTATTTCCTACAAAATATGCGTAATTTTAAAATTTCAAAAAATCAAAGATTGTGAATGTAAAAGATAATATGTACAATTGATTAAATTACACTTTTCATCACCATGGTTTAGACCATTTTCAGCTTATTAAGGCCATGTTTACAATTTCTGCTCTAACCTTGGGTGTTTTGCAAAAATATTAAATTTTGATAGTTGCAATTCTTTATACGCTATAATTAAATCACCCGTATATATGTGATTGTGAATTGATGATCAACAAATCTAACATATCAAATTTTACTCGATTAACAGTCTACAAATCATCCATGCATCATAATTTTCCTTGAGGCATATTGATACTTGGATATTCAATTCTCTATCTCATGCACCAACTGTTGGCGGGAGAGTGCCACAAGGATATAGGAAGAGTAAGAGATAAAATTTTACAAAAATTATTTTGTAAGAACTCATTGTCCGAAGCTCTCTCCCACACGAAACGTCGACGTTTTGTTCATTGACCTCCTCCCTATGTCTGTCTTCGCTCCGCAGCCAATAGTCTACGTGTCCGAAATCACTAACGAAATGAACACGTCGACATAATTCGCCGAAACATTTGGCATCTGCCTGCCGCCACCAAAGTTTGGGGCCCACACCTACTCATTTGACACGTCACGACCCGCTTTCACTCATCCTCTCCCGCGAAACGTGCATCAACGTCAATCCAACCTGGAACGGCACCGTTTGGCCTCAACATTCCCATTTCAACCCCCGCACAACCTGCCTTTGACCCAAAACTGAAGGGGAAAAGCCCCCTCTTCTTCTTCCCTCTCCAGTCCTTCTCAGTCCACCCTCCGATTTCACTTCGATTTTGTCGAGAAGAATCTCAGCTCCATTTCAGAGCAACACACATATTTATATACCCGCATACACACATATTGATGGATCGGAGGAGACCTGCGAGTCCGGTGTACTCGCGGCAGTGGAGCGGAGGTTCGAGCAGCCCGGGGTCTTCTCCAGCGATGTCTCCGGCGCACCCTCACTCTCGTCTTAATCCGTCTGCCACCGGAATCTCCACTGTCAAGCGAAATCAAAACGTCGCCGCCAAAGCCGCGGCACAGCGGCTGGCTCAGGTCATGGCTTCTCGGGCCACCGGCGATGACGACGACGACGACGACGATCTCGGGTTTCGGTTTGCTCAGCCGCCTCATGCACCTTCTTCTCTGTCCGGCAATGGTTTTAATAACGGTGCAAAGGCTCTTCCTGCGATTTCGGTGACTCGGCCTAATAGATCTCCGTCTCCTGCGGTAATTCAGAATCTATGCTAATCATTATGCTGTTTTTGAATCTGATGTAGTCTTGTTTTGATGTTATAGGATTGAATTGCGTAACGGACCTTTCTTGAGATTTTTTTTGTTCAGTTTCGGTGCTGTTGTTTTGAGATCTGAATTGTGGCTACTTCGTTGTGTTTTGAGTTCGTTTATGAATGTATTAGAGTGAACCAGCTCAAGTTGACTCATAATTTTATGAGCTTCAGTTAAATTGGAGTCTATTTGATTGAACTTTTATATATTTATATTTTTTTTGTGCCAGAGTTATTACTATTGGTTTATTCTTAATTAATGTTACTTTTAGTTAACAGTCTGTTGGGAAACTTGTAAATTCTGAACGTGGTGATCTTATGGCTGATCGGATTCTGGTATTTTAATTAGTTAGGTCGGAACTTTGTAGAGCATACAACCTCAGTTCGTTCCACATCAGCAGGAAGACCCTCTATGTCTGTTCGTTCATCGACGGTAGTGCCACCCAGCAAATCCTCGGTTAGAACTCCAATAGCCATACCTCCAATTGATCCTCCTTCTAGTAGAAACAGAGATAAAAGGCAAGTTCATAAGATAGCTGTTTTTTGCTTGCATTCTTGTAGCTAATTGATGTTATCGAAGCTTATGATGCATGTATAGCTATAAATATAATATGTTCTTGGGGCAGGTTTATGCCAGATATTGGACAGTTCAACTCAATAGCCCCAGGAGATGAGCGTGAAGCTTCTGAGCTTCGTGATCGAGTATGTCATTTGCAGCCATCAATTTTTGTCTTCATAACAGATGCAGATAACCTTTAAATGTATTTAGGGATATGCTTTATTACTTGAATTTAAGATTGGTATTTGTGAAATCTTAATTGTAATTTTTGAATCAATAGTCTTGATACTAACATGTACTGTAAATGCAGCTTGATATGCTACAAGAAGATCATGAGATCGCACTTGAGAAGGTGTGCTCTTCCATATTCTAATGCAGACATGCACATGCATTTATTATACATACTAGGACACACACGCACACACACAGGTATATGACTGTTATATTTTGTGTGTAATATTTATGCATAAGCATGTATGACAGCTTCGCCTTGCTGAAGAAAGACATGCGCAAGCAGAGGCCAGAGCTAAGGAGCTTGAGAAACAGGTGAATCCTTTTATTCATATTTATTTAGCTGCATAGTTTGAAATCAGGAATCATTGAGGTTCAGAACTTAGTGTCTCTTTTTATCATGCCTTATACATTCCTTCATAGTTCTGACAATATTAGCACAATTTTGTCACCAAGAAGGTAGTGCTGCTTCTTATTCAGCTATTTTTATGTTCAATTCTTCATTCACAGGTTGCTAACCTTGGAGAAGGTGTAAGCATGGAAGCTAAATTGTTGAGCAGGTAAAGTTGAGTTATTTTGCATCTTTTCTACCTTTATTTGATATCCTGGTTTTGATTATTCAAATGATCCATCTGCAGGAAGGAAGCAGCTTTGCGTTCAAGAGAGGTATGTTGGGAGGGTAAATTAGATGTGGCGTATACATTGAGTAATGATACTAGTACTGATTGAAACATTTTATGTTAAAATGAGATTATCTGCGGCATTTTTTAGACTGAAAAACATTGATTGTTACAGGCTGCTCTCATCGCTGCAAAACAAAACAAGGATGGGAAAGATGAGGAAATTGCAACTCTTCGTTCAGAAATTGAGGTAAACTCTTTAGATCTCAATCAAGTATTTCTGATTTATGTGATAGCTTCATGAGTTTATTCTTTTGTAAAAATCAGAACTTAAAAGATGGTGCTGCAGCAGCAGTCGAGCATCTCCGAGAAGCAGAATCTGAAGCAAAGTCTCTTCGCTCAAAGACACAAAGAATGATTTTAACGCAAGAAGAGATGGTTTGTCTTCTGATACTCAAGTGAGATTTACTTTTACCATTTCACACTCTTAAGTTTATTTCTGTATATGTCTTTTAGGAGGAAGTTGTTCTGAAGAGATGTTGGCTTGCTCGCTATTGGGGTTTAGCAGTGCAGTATGGTATTCAATTCCCTACCATCTTCCCCTTCTTGAATAAGGATATAGATTGCATGCTTAAATCTGATATCGCAGCTTGATGATTTTCTCTGTATTGGGTATTTGAATTTTAACATTGTGTATCCTGTTTTAGTTATAACATCAAGAAGGTGTCCTATGAAGTATGTTTAGACCTATGTATATGTGAATTTGGATTTGAATGAATGGAGACTTAGATTTATAATTCATTTACAAACATTTTACTTTATATGCTGTTTGCTTTGCTGCTTTTTAGGCATATGTGCAGATATAGCCTTGTCAAAGCATGAGCATTGGTCATCTTTAGCTCCTCTTCCATTTGAAGTCGTCATTTCTGCTGGACAAAAGGCAAAGGAAGATTCTTGGGATAGAGGTATATCAAAGACAATGATGTTGTTATCTCTTTATCTGATTTTATTTTTCATTTCATGCACTCAATTAAGCTTTTGTCTTGTATGACGTCTACCAGGTAGTGATGACCCAGATAGAAGTAAGATAGTTCGGGATTTAAGTGACCTCACTGGCGAAGGAAATATTGAGAGTATGCTTTCAGTGGAGATGGGTTTGAGGGAATTAGCTTCTCTAAAGGTCTGTTCCTAATGTTTGACATATTAATATTTTTATTTCTCTTCAAAATATATATGTATATATATTTATATGAAATTCTGTTTGACTTTATCCTGTTTTTGACTTCTAATTTTTGCACTGTATCACTGTTCTGTTTAGGTTGAGGATGCTGTTGCGCTTGCATTGGCCCAACGTAGACGTCCAAATTCTGTTCGGCAGTCTGGTTTAGGTATTTTTCTTTATTGTGTCATGTTATTCTAGAGTTTTCATGCCCTGTAATATATTTTTTATGTGAAAATCTGCATTGAACTAGATGTTACCTTCTTCATATGATGACTTGAAGATGTTATGGAGAAAATGGCTTTACTTAGTTGATTCTCTTACTCATATTCTCTGTACTTATTTCTTTTCATTTTCTAAATTATAAACTATAACAATTCCCTGACATTATAATTAATTGGTCTTCAATATCATTATGGTATTTTGGTAAGATCTTATGATAGTTGCATCCATATGCTTAATTGGTTCATATGCTGTGTGGCGCAATACTTTATTCTTACTATCAAACTTTTTCATGCTGGTTATCATAGAGTTGTGCAAGGTTTTTGTTAAGGACTGGAGCAGAAAGAATTTCACAACAATGCTTACCTTTCTTGTTGTTTGAATTTCAGATTCCAAATCACCTGGTGACCCAAAATTTGTGGAGGCATTTGGTAAGAGAGATACTTTGATCTGTTATACGATGTATCGCTAAGATTAAGGAATATCAATGCACACAATCATTAATTATATGAAAAACTAATTGT